CCAAGTTCCACAAGTTTGACAAGATCATCATCGCCGACCCCCCCACCGTGGAGCCTGAGACCGAGTTCGAGGCCGAGCCCGCACCTGAGCCCGAGCCCGAGATTCCCCCGGTGGTGCTGACCTAGAGATTCTCTGCTCAGGCTGCTGTGCCCACGGTCCCTTCTCACACAGAATGGAATTTCATTGTCCTTGGGATAATACTTCACACACGCAACACCTTTGACAGTCACCAAACGATTGATTTCATTCAGACTCTTCAAGAGTAATCTATATGCTATGATGTAACTAGTCCTATCCAAAGTTCATAGCAGTCCCGTCAGGCAGGGGTGGGGGGATATAAGTTGAGAACACAGACAGTTGATGTGACGCTCAGCTTCACTACCCCATGCTGAACGCGAGTCCCAAACCCAAATGGTGTTAGGCAAGCCCACATGTCGCTGATGAGGCAGGTTTCCTCCGCATTGCAAGTCGCTGATAAGGTGAGTTTGTCAGGTCTTGAGCAAGGCGCCAGGGCCGGGCTCTGGGCAAATGACAAAGATCCCAATACCAATAGACCTTGTACCTCTTATCCGTTGCAGTCCCGGTTTGAGCACAGACAGTGGATCGGCAAGTCTTTCGTTGAGCGATTGGTGATGGAGGTCCACTCTGTAAACCCAACGTGCTTTCGCTGCCGTGGTACTTGTGCCAGACCCTGGGGTTCACATTACCCTGTTTGAGTCATTCCCACCTCACATACATCGTGCACGTGTTCTCACGTGTCACACTGAGCCGAGGAATTGCAGACCAAACGCTCGTCCTGTTCTGACGCTGGGAGAGCATACAGACTCAAACGGCAGGGTCTACAACTACTAATGGCGGAATCAAGATTTCCCGAGGCAATGCTCCTGCCAGCCCTTCTTCAATCTTTGGATCTGATGTCGGCTGCAATTCAGTCGATGAGCTCATACGTTTGGGATGCCTGTTCTCCAAATTCATGATCTGTAAAGTGGTGGCATATCCAAAATAGAGACTGGGCGGCATCTTGATGTAGATTGTACAGCTCCGATGCAATCCAGCTTGTGCATCAGTGGACAAAACCGCAACCACAATGCGCGACAGTATCCCGGTGCTGCAGCACTAGGCCGGCCACCGTTGCAGCAAGGGCACCAAAGGGCAGCTTGTAGGTCACACTCAGCTCCAACATAATTCTTCGGGCTGCCTGCAGTCGATCAGCCAGCCTGAGGCACGATCTGTCTTCCTCTTATGTGGTAAAGCACTGTTCTTATGGGAAGAGTGTTTTATGGAATGCACAATGGGTTCTACTGGAAACCTGAGGATGTATGTTTGCCCAGTACGAAGTGCCCTTACATCACAAGATGGGACCTCCGGTCCAGCTGCAGCACCCGGTATCGAGATCTTGCTGAGGGCCTCGAGGCACATCTCCCTTCAAAGCGGGCCAACGGACAATTAGGGTGTCGGAGAGGATCAAAAGGGGCATTTCGGTTCACCACCGGGAGGTGTTACACCGCCGCTCAACCTCTCTTCGGCATAAACATTCATCATGGCACGTGCACTTGTCCTCCTGCTGGTAGCCCTGACCGCCACGACGGTCCTGGCCGAGAAAACCTCACTCCCTCTCAACGCTGACTCCATCGCCGAGGGTATGTCTAATGCCTTCCAGATCGTGACAGAAGTCCATGCGGCCGCAGCTATAGGTGCATCCAGCCGATTTTCTTCCCATCGGCTGAGGTTGTCCCCCTCTGGTGTTGTTACCTGCAGTGTTCAAGGGCTTCTCCGAGGAGCTGCAGAACACACTCCACTCCACCACCAACCATGGACGTAGTATGCTCGGCTTACAGGAGGTGAGGCTGTGTGCATTGAATTGTTGACAGCTGGCTGTGTCCCTTGATAGCAGCATGCTGTTGAGTCCCTGCACACAGCCGTGTGCTAAGCATCTCTCCCATCACCACCCTCCACAATACACAGGACGCCCACTCCTTCTTCAAGGACATCCTGGGCGGAAACTGGAGCGACCACGTCCCCGCGGCCTGGAAGGACCATGGTGAGTTCTCAGTGATGTACTCTGGGTGACGAGCCATGACTCAAATTGTTGGCGCTCATCTGTCAGCGGCTACTCGTCCAGAGCCAGAGTGATCAACCTCTCATCCTGCAGACTTCAGCCTGGACAAGCTGATCCCCTTTGACCTGAAGCACAGCCTGGATGACTTCCTGGAGAACAGTCAGCTGGACGAGTTCCGCCGGCCCCATACCATCCCTGAGCTCCATGACCTCTTCGAGTCTACCCTCGCCAAGTTCTGCAAGAATTTCACGTAGGTTTGGGAGGAGGGGTGTCCTGGCACATGGTTGCTCCCTGAATGGTAATCTCGACTCCCACACACCGGGCGACTCCGAACCTCCGTTTCACAACCTCTCCCACAGCTTCAACATCTCCGAGAAGGTGGACCCCTTCTGCGCCGGGCCCACGGTCTCCCTGACCTACAACCCCAAGGTCTGCATCATCGACGAGCTGAAGAAGCAGATCATCTGCACCCCCGCCTCCATCACCCTGACCAAGGAGCCCGGTGTGTGCGTGAAGAAGGCCTTCACCCCCACCATCTTCATCGGCAAGTCCTGCGCCATCCGCAAGACCATCGGCGTGGAGGCCGAGGTCGTCATCGGCGGGGGTGAGTTTGTTGTGCCCCTCAACAAGTACTTCCCACTGTCGGACAAGGCGGGCGAGAAGCTGGAGGCCAAGTTCTCCAAGTTCAAGAAGTTTGACAAGATCATCGCCGACCCCCCCACCGTGGAGCCTGAGACCGAGTTCGAGGCCGAGCCCGCACCCGAGCCCGAGCCCGAGATTCCCCCGGTGGTGCTGAACTAGAGATTCTCTGCTCCTGTCTAAGTGTTCCATGTGCCATACATCCACATCTCTGTTTTGAGCGCGGATGAGGCATTGATGCCTCACCCAACACCCCCCTGATACTTGCAAGTTGTCCCTTCCCCTTTCCGACTCCATCATTCCAGACTCCACTCCATTTGTAACTCCATTTCATTCCTTGCTTCAGTGTATCACAGGTAAGATATGATTCTGTGACTTTAACCAATGAGCGATCCATCCAACGCTTTGAGAGCAGTTTGGTGGGGAGGGCAGGATGATTGGAAGAGGGAATCATGAAGGGGCACGGCTCACCTATCCAGTTTGGCCTGACTCTGGAAACTTTCAGCGCTATGGGATGCTGCATCGACAGTTCGTCATGTGTGAAATTCGACTCTGCACCTTGGGACTTCCGGCGAAGCAGCTTGGTCCCCAAAGATAGGCGTCGGCAGCTCACAGAGCGCGGGAAACAGAAATAGACGGTAGCACATGATGAATGGACTTACTAACTTGATCGCACCAAAATAATAAGTCAGCGCACTCTAGTTGCACACCAAATCGCTCGTCGAGCTTGGGCTACTCTGGTCCACCCCTCCCTTAAGCACCTGCAAGTTGATGTAGCGCGACGCGAGCCAATCTCTGGTGCCTTGTGTATGCTGGGAGTCAAGTAGCCTTCAACATTGTCGGAAAGACCTTTCGTAACGCGTACGGAGCGGAAGGATGTATCAATACGGTACTGTAATTGTGCACAACAGACAAAACAAGCAGATGCACGACCTTAACTCAACCCCACCGATGCCGGTCACCCAGGTAATTCCTACCGTCGGCAGTACTAAGCTCTGTGCCAACGCTCTCTTCATACGATAGTACTTATTGGTGATATTGCGACCAACGAGCATTGCAGCGCAGGATGGCCGCAGTCCGCCAACGGATCGAGCATTGTGGCATGGCTTCAGTCTGGTGGATAGCGAACCAAAACTCAGACCGCGGGGCATTAATATACTCTTAGTTGCACACCAAATCGCTCGTCGAGCTTTGGCTACTCTGATCCACCCCTCCCTTCGGCACGTGCAAGTTGTTGTAGCGCGACGCGAGCCAATCTCTGGTGCCTTGTGTATGCTGGGAGTCAAGTAGCCTTCAACATTGTCGGAAAGACCTTCCGTAACGCGTACGGAGCGGAAGGATGTATCAATACGGTACTGTAATTGTGCACAACAGACAAAACAAGCAGATGCACGACCTTAACTCAACCCCACCGATGCCGGTCACCCAGGTAATCCCTACCGTCGGTAGTACTAAGCTCTGTGCCAACGCTCTCTTCATACGATAGTACTTATTGGTGATATTGCGACCAACGAGCATTGCAGCGCAGGATGGCCGCAGTCCGCCAACGGATCGAGCATTGTGGCATGGCTTCAGTCTGGTGGATAGCGAACCAAACCTCAGACCGCGGGGCATTAATATACTCTTGTTAACATTACAAGCCTTTGATCATAACAATACTCTGGTATAGCAGGCCCGAGGCCTGGTCTTAGGCCCCATAGTGAAGTCGTCGCAACTTGCGCATGCTGTATGTGCGGCCGAGAGTTCAGCTCCGGCATCGGGCCTGCAGGGTGCTTACAGCCAGTGCAGCCGTGTAAGACGTACTATAGGCTTCTAATGTATACAACAAACCATTTCTTTGGGATCCTGATTCAACTCTATGGGTTCAGGGCGGCTTCCCGGTACCCAAAATGGCAGAATCCGCGCACTATCGGGTGCCCTTACAGTGCCGAATGGGACCTCCGGACCAGCCGCTGCGTCCGTTTTCGAATTCCGGCTGCGCTTCTCGAGGCAGAGCCCATTCATGCAGGACAACGGACTGCCATGGATTCGGAAAGGGTTATAAGCGCAGCATCGGCAAATATACGGGTATTATTTCCCTGCTGATCGGTCCCTGTGTCTCTCAGGGTCTCACCATGGCACGTGCACTTGTCCTCCTGCTGGTGGCGCTGACGGCCTCATCGGTCCTGGCCGAGAAGACGTCTCTTCCTCTGACCCCAGAGTCCATCGCCGAGGGTGCGTCCCATGGCCGTTGGATCGCGACGCAAGTCATTGCCGCCACGGGATTCCAGGCGTAAGCTGAAATGCCCTTCCCATGTGCTGACCACTTCTCCATGTGCAAACCCGCCCCCTCATCTGTTTACGCAGTGTTCAAGGGCTTCTCCGAGGAGCTGCAGAACACCCTCCAGTCCACCACCAGCCATGGTCGTAGCATGCTTGGCCTGAAGGAGGTGAGCATCTGGGGCCTGTGTGTTTGAATGGCAGAGAAGCTCGGCAGTGGCATGTCACTGCGACAGCAAGATCCATCAGACATCGTGACCCTGCCCTGAATCCACCGTCCACAACATACAGGACGCCCACTCCTTCTTCAAGGACATCCTGGGTGGAAACTGGAGCGACCACGTCCCTGCAGCCTGGAAGGACAACGGTACGACTTCATGAATTTGCATGGTGTGAGCAGATCCTGGGTCCAGCAAGCCGTGACCCTCCTGTATCACACTCACATCTGCATCCCCAAACCTCCCACCTCTACCCACTGTAGACTTCAGCCTGGAGAAGCTGTTCCCTTTTGACCTGAAGAACAGCATGGATGACTTCCTGGACAACAGCCAGCTGGCCGAGTTCCGCCGCCCCCACTCCATCCCCGAGCTGCACGACCTGTTCGAGTCCACCCTCGCCAAGTTCTGCAGGAACTACACGTAAGCTACTGGAGCAATGCGTCTTGTTGGGCATTC